AGGTCTTGGCAGAGAGGCTGGTGCAGACAGAGGTGCAGACAGGGCTGGGATGGGGCCCACATCTGGGCCCTCCACGCACCTCTCCCCTTGCGGAGCCCACGCCCTTCTTTTCCCCCATCAAGAGCCAGTTCTGGGACTCACTGCGCCGGGGGCTCTAATGATGGCTGCTCAGGGAAAGGTCCCCCAGGGGGTCTGGGGCACCGAGTGCTTTCAGCACATGCCTAATGGTGGACTCTCAGGCACCGTGACGTCCTGGTGGCAGGAAGACCAGCCAGAGCCCCTTGAATTACTCCACGTGGGTGGTCGCTGGCTCTACCTGCTGAGGAGGTCGGCCCTGAGTCCTGAGCAGCTATTTCCAAACACTGACTGATCCCCACTCTGAGCCCGGTCCAGGGTGGGGGCAGGAGAGACCGGAGAGATGGAGAGACTGGGCCTCACCCCTGAGGTTTCCACTTAGTCTGAGAGGGAGACACACAGAGATGTGGCAGGACAGCATGGTACGTGCTGTGGGAGGTGACGGTCCAAGATGGAGACGACTGGGAAGGGGAGAATGGCCTGGGTGTCAGGGAAGGCTTCTTGAGAAGGTGACAGAGGAGCTGAGCCTGAGGATGAGCAGGATCCTTCCAGATGGAGACAGGGAAGGCGTTCCAGGCAGTGGGAACGGCAGGAGCAAATGCTGAGAGAAGGCAGCAGGTTTGGGGCAGAGGAGGGGACCTAGGGAGGGAGTAGAAGAGCGTGGAGAGGGGCCGGGGACACACCTTGCGAGGCTAAGAGCCCAGACGTTATTTTGAGAATTTTAGGGAAAATTTCAGCAGCTGGATGACAAGGTTAGATTCTAGCTGTAGTGGAGGGTGGCAGGGCGACAGAGAACCGCACACAGGAGCTGAAGATACAGAAGGCGCCCCTTTCTGCCCCTGTGCAGGTGCTGACCACCCACCTTCTGGAGCCTGGGAGTGGGGCCTGGACCCACGGGGTGGGCGCTCTGCAGGCTTCTTGCTGTGGGCTGGGGAAACGTCCTGAGGTGACCTCATGAGGAAGGGACCACTGCGAGGCCTCATCTGGTATCTCGCAGGCACCAAGAAGAGCCCGGAAAAGAGCAGAAGGCGCAGCCAGCTCCAACGTCTTCTCCATGTTTGATCAGTCCCAGATCCAGGAGTTTAAAGAGGTTGGTCAGCTGCCCATGGGGCCACTAGGAAGGTTAACAGAGCTCACGAAAATCAATTAGGGGCCTGACACAGGGTCAGTGCTCAGTCGCCTGGGGCTGGTGATGTTGTCATTATTCTTTGAGGCCACCATGGCATGCCTCAGAACCTGGAGTAAGGCCATTCTCTCTCTGGGCCTCAGTTTTCCTCTCTGGAAACTGGGGCTGCTGAGACCCTGAAATGATGGAGTGGGTCTGGAGCCCTGCAGCGTGAATACAGGAGCTCGGAGAGGACTGACCACAACTCCCACGCTGCTGTTCCTGCTAAGCTGGGGAGCTGGGTGGCCAGAGGGGCTGCGCTGAGGTTCCTCCAGCAGCAGTTGGCAGGAGGGTGGCCCTTGGGGGAGGGCGCCCGGGGGGTGTGGCTGGGCATGGGCGGGAGGGCAGCTGCTCAGTGCCTGTGTCTCTGCTAGGCCTTCACCATCATGGACCAGAACCGGGATGGCTTCATCGACAAGGAGGACCTGAGGGACACCTTTGCTGCTCTGGGTGGGTGACCCAGCAGCCAGGGCAGTTTGAGGCTTGGGGAGGAGCCGAGTCCAGGCCACCCTGAAAGAGAGGGCAGCTGGCGGCATGAGGGGCTTGGGTGCTTGGGGGGTGCAGAGGTGGGTCAGCTGCTGCCTGGAAGGTCAGGGAAGGTTCCTGGTGTTGGAGGAGGACATGGCCGTGGAAGAGGAGGGAATTTCAAGGGCAGGGTGCCCGTGTAAAGGCCGGGCGTAGGCGGGCTGGGTGTGGTGAGGGGCAGAAAGAGCAGGGGGAGAAGCTGGGGGCAGGGAAGTTTCCACTTCCAGGGAGGCTTTTGCACCCTCTAAGAGACCAGTGAAAGGCCTTAAAGCACCATGGGGGGGTTGAGGTGGGGGAGGGGGGCATAACAAAGTCATCTCTGGCCTGAGCCTTGAGTGCCTGAGAATCTGAGTGTCTGCTGGGACCACGGGGACTCCCAGAGTCCCCACCTCCTGGCAGCCCGCTGCCCCCCTCCTAGGGCACATGAGCCCCGAGGCCCAGGCCGTCAGCCCCTGTGCACTTCAGCTGCAGCTTCTCTGCGCCCCAGTTTCCTCATCTGTAATATGGGGATAAGGACCGAGTTGCTCTCCTTTCCGGGGAGGCTGAGGTAGAGACAGGGGCAGGGGTGAGGCTGGGGCAGCCCGGTGCTGACCGTGGGCTGAATGCTCCCCCACAGGGTCTCCGAACAGGTGGGCAGGGCCCTGGGGCTGAGTGGGGGGCGGGGGGGACAGTGGAGCTGGGAGATTCTGCAGGACCCTCGGTGGTCCCGAGTGCTGCTCTCTGGGGCTGCTGCAGATGGGATCTCCTCTGGCCCCATTAAGCTCCTGGGTCTCCTCCCCCAGGCCGCATCAACGTCAAGAACGAGGAGCTGGAGGCCATGGTGAAGGAGGCTCCCGGGCCCATCAACTTCACCGTCTTCCTGACCATGTTTGGGGAGAAGCTGAAGGGTGAGTCGGGCTCCAAGGGGCTCTGGGGACAGGGTAGGGGTGGGTGTGGGCTGGCGGGGTCCTTTGTGCGGACCTATCCCCCACCCCCGCCCTGACATACACACCACAGCTGGGAGCATGGTGTGGCCCCCCGACACCAACCCTGGGTGCACACACCTTCCAGGGCCTGCCTCAGTTTCTACCTCTGCACTGCAGATGGGGTTAACTGTAAAAACCTGCCTTGGGAGCCCTTTGCCCACGTCAGGCCGGTGCCCTCCACCTTGCTCCCCTAGTCCCACCCACCTCCCTTCCTGTGGGCTCATTTGGTCTGTTCTGCTTCACTGTCCCTTGCTGATGGGGGAGATGGGAAAAGGGGGCTGGGTGGCTCCAAAAGCTACTTTGGCCAAGCCCGGAGCTGGACAGATTACTTCACTGGTCTTATTCTGTAGCCACCGCAGCCCCCAGGGATTCTCACTCATGAATGAGGTGTCTCAGGCTTAGGTTGTGACATCTGCCCCACGTACCCCTGCAAACAAGTGCCAGGATGCAGCTGCAACCCCGACCCCTGGCTCTAACCATTGTACTCTCCTGAGACCTGCATCAGGCCTGGGGCAGGGGTGGGGGCCATCTCTGTCCCCTTTCTCTCCTGGCCCCTTTAATGATGTCCCCTGAACTTGAGGTCTCCATGGTCAGAAGAAAGAGCCAGTCTGGAAGGTAGGTGTTGTCACCCGCCCTCAGGCCACCCCTGCCTGGTGTCCTGCCTTGGCCTCCCTCCCTCAGCTAGGTCTGGGGTCAAGACCTGGCCTCCTGGAGACCCCCAAGGTGGCCTTGAACAGGCTCATCTGCATCCTGTTCTCAGTTTTGCATCTGTAAAATGGAGGTATATTAGTTTCCCGAGGCTGCTGTAACAAATCACCACAAACTTGGTGGCTCAAACAGCAGAAATGAATTCTCATGGCTCTGGAGTCTGGGCGTCTGAAGTCCAGGCTGGGCTGAGCTGCCTGAAGCTCCCGGGGACAACCCGCAATTTGCATCTTCCGCTTCCAGGGGCCGCTTCGCGCCTCTGTACCCGAGGTCACAAGGCCCCCCCTCTCCTGTCTAATCTCCCTCTGCCTCCCTCTTATAAGGACACTTGTCATTGGATTTAGGGCCTAGCTGGATAATCCAGGATGATCTTCTCATTCTCAAAATCTTCAGCTCCCATCTGCAAGTCCCTTTATCTGAATAAGGGACATCCACAGGCTCTCGTGGGGGTATCTTTTGGGGGGCCACCATTCAACCACTATAGAGCAGTCCTATTGAATATCACAGATTTTCCTGGGTGGGTTATCAATTCTCTCATGGGCCGTGACCCACGGGAGAGGCCAGTAGCCTCCTCGCACAATGTCCTGGCTGACTACACCTAGAAGGAGGTTGATGACGGACCTGGGTGTTAGAGATGAGGAAACTGAGGACGGGAGAGGGCAGGCACCCTCATCTGGGGCAGGCTTTGGACCACCTCCAGGCATCTGTTAGGGGTGATTCCCAGGACCATGCCACCTCCCGGAACTGTTTAGAAGTGCAGGAGGTTGAGGCCTCCAGTTTGTGTCAGTCTGTGGCTGAGCTGGAACTGTGACCCAGGGCCTGCTGCAGGCTGCAGGGCAGCAGCTTTTTCTCATTTTTGCAGGGCGCCGGGACAGGGGCTCCAGCTGAGCCTGTCATGCAGACTTGTCCCAGCCTACAAGAGAGGCCAGCGGTAGGGGACAGGAGCCGGGAGGGCAGGGAGTTGGGGCAGACACCGCCTCATCCTGCTAATTGGGACGAGGAGACTTTGTCATGAGGTCCCCAACAACGATGGGGGGAGCAGCCACTCTGCTGCCCATTTTACGAGGTTTGCAGTCCCCAGAGCAGAGGCGCTCTCTGGGGAGGAGGGAGGGAGGGGAGGATGGCCCGCCCAGCCTCCCAGACACCCGTGACAGGGAACAGTGGGGCCGTGGTGAGTGTCCTGCAGCTCGGCCTGAGCTAACCAAGTCCATGTGCATTGTCTTCAGGAGGGTGGGCTGGAGCCGGTCACAAACCTGCCCCAGCACCGAGGCTTCTTCAAAGACATCAGGAATAATTTTCAGCTAATCATTGAAACCTGGGAGGCTGTGGCCTCAGAGGTGGACACTCCACACCAGCTCCCATCACGATCCTTTGGCTGCTCAGCCCTCAATGGCCTGGAGCTGCCCCCAATCCCCACTTGCTCGGCCAGACTGTGAGGGCCTGGACCCAGCCCCAGCCGGATCCTGGGCTGAGCCTCTGGGCCGGGAACACCGGCTCCCTGCCACCCTGCCAACAGCATACCTACATCTCTGTCTTCCAGGAGCTCCAGGCCTGCAGGGCCAGCACGTGCCAGGCTCAGTCACCCTGGGCCAGATGCTTCCTCTCTCCGGGCCTCAGTTTCCCCATCAGTACAACAAAGAGGCTCAGTATTCAATCCCATCATGGGTATTAGAATCATGTCTTCTAATGACATCTTCCCCCAAACTATGAAAGTGATAAAACCAGAACTGCTCTGCCGCCAACCTCCCTTTGCCTGTTGGCCCGACTGCCCTGCCTCTGATGGGGACAGTCTTGCAGACCCCACCAATGCCACTGTCTGAGCCCAGCCTTTGGTCCCCCCACCCCCAGTGTAGAACTCTTTTTCCTCGACTCACAGCGTTTTGGGCACAGCTTGGGAAACCAGCGAGCCCCAGAGCTGATGCCCCTCCCGACCTCACTGATCATGTGGCAGCATCAGCTGCAAGACCTTGGACAAGTCACTTAACCTCTCCGAGCCTCAGTTTCTTCATCTGTAGATAGGGACAATTGCCAGGAAGGTTAAGGACATGGTACATGCATAGGCAGGGTCTCCATGTACGCTCGTGCAGGTTGTTCACAACCGCGTGCACGCAGCGCCCTTGTCTATTAACACCGTTGCTTGTCTCTGAGCCCTCCTTGCTGGTGCTCACGTGGCCTTGGCCCTCGCTGTGGAGTGAACGTTGAAGAGGAAGCTCCTCACAGCTGCCTGTGGGGACCCCTCTGCAGGGGACCATGGGACCTGCCCCCCCACCCCTGCCCAGCCTGACGCCTGTCTCTGTGGGGCCCTCTGCACCCTGCCACTCTCGCTGCCCTGTGTGTGCTGCTTCTAGGCACGGACCCAGAGGAGACCATTCTCCATGCCTTCAAGGTGTTCGACACTGAAGGCAAAGGCTTCGTCAAGGCTGATGTGTAAGTCCTCTGCCCTCCTTGGGTTTTTCTCTCCCCAAAGACTCAGGTGATAAACAAGCTGGGGTGGGGTTGGGGGGGTGATGGTCCAGTTTCCTCTCCCACCCAGAATTGATGGTCCAGTTTCCTCTCCCACCCAGAATTCAGCCAGGCTGGGGCAGAGTCTGGCAGGAGCCAGGAGGCTGCTGCCCAGCCCTGCTCAGCATCTCTTGACGTCCCTTCCCCTCTCTGGGCCTCAGTGTCCCCATCTCTCTATGTGTGTGGAAGTGGACAGGGAGTGGGGGGTCACTCAGCTTGGGATGCGTGAGGGGGAGGTGGCCCTGGGCTGGCACTACGGAGTTGGGGGCTCTATCTCCGATGGCCTGCTGTAAGCACAGGGGCAGAGGGCCAAGGGGCGGGGGTGGGGGCTGGCAGGGGAGCAGCAGCCTGCCCAGGGACCCGGAGGCTGATCTGACTCTGAGCTCCTTGCTGGGCCTGGGGGGGCCCTGGGCAGGTGAGATTTGCTCCCCAGGCACTGGCTTTCTGACCAGCTACTGTGACGCTTCAGGCCCTCGGGTTCTGAGGGTAGTTTAGTGCCTCTCAGTGTCCTCGCATGTGAAGGGGGGGTGGACAGGGCCAGAGGGGCGGGGGTGGAGGCAGGGAGGGTCTGTCCCGTCTCCCACGTTCTCAGATGGGGAGTCCCACCCTCCACTGGGTGGGGGGAGCTGCAGGGGTTTCTCCAGGCTGCAGACTGTACTTCTTCACCCTCTTGGGGTCGTTCTATCTTCATCTTGGGGACCAGGGGAGTCGCCAGGGGCACCCCCTGGAGT